TCCGGGGGCGGCGCGGCCGCCCCGTCGGGAAAGAAGGAGGTGAAGGTCGTGATCGTGGGGGACGGCGGCTGCGGGAAGACGTCGCTGCTGATGGTGTACGCCAAGGGCTCCTTCCCCGAGGTGAGCGGGCTGTCCCGCCGCCGGGCCCGGCCCGGCCGGGGCGCGAAGGCGCGGGGGACCGCCCGGCAAAGCGGCCGGTGCTGGCTGCGAGCTGCGCGTCCCTAGCTAGCGCTGCTTCTCCTCCCTCTGCAGCAATACGCGCCGTCCGTCTTCGAGAAATATACTACCAGCGTTACGGTGGGCAAAAAGGAGGTCACCCTGAATTTGTACGATACCGCAGGTAAGGGTTTGGGTTTCTTCCACGCAGACTTTCCCTTTTCCCGATCCCAAAACCGCGAGAGGCGGTTTCCATGCGCCCGCTGGGATGGGAGCGCGCTGGGGCATCGGCCTGGGCCTGAGCCCAAACCCAGCCCCCGGGTTTTCGTAATTTCAGACAAACAAGCAGAAACTGCTTTTACCGGTGTAAAATGCTGCTCCTGTGGACGCGCCCGTATTTCTGTTCCAGCAGCTTTTGTATCCAGGCTGATACTTGAAGACTGTAAAGCTGGACATGTTTTCAAATTGTGTTTCTACTAGCATACTTAGAGCGTATTATCACAGTTAAGACTGCCAGAGACTAAAGTACAAACAAAACAACAACCGTTACCTGTTGCGTGCGTAAATGTGCCTTCCAGAAAAAAAAAAGTGTCGCTTGCCTAATGGCAGTTCTAGCCGTGGACTCGTTCATTATCTTAACAAGCCAGTTTATTAAGAAAATCACATCAAATAGCAAACATATCTGAAGGTATTAAAACCCAGTTCCCAGATGCAAAGCATAATACAATCAACCATGAAACTATTTAATCTCCTGCCATGTGCGCTCAAATAGCGAAGGAGAAAAAGGCTGGTTTGTGTTCAAAATGAAAAGGCCGTAGCAGTAAAAGTTATTTGAAAATGCTGGTACTTTGTTCGGGTTCATTTCAGGAACTTGTGAAATGGTTTGTGTTCAACTTCATTCAAAGTTCCCAGGCTCTGTTATCCAGCTGCGTTCCTAAATGAACCCTAAAATTGACACGTGCTCTGTTTCAGCTCGGTGTAAATCATCTGTTTCAGTTCAAGCCTGTGGAGTTGTTCCAAATTTACACCAAGACAAATAAGAACCGAATGCAGTCTATATTCAGTTTTTAATAGTAATAAAACACACTTACCTTCTTGCATACCGTATGTGATAGCTGAATAGATAATTTTAAAGGTTTTTAATCTAAAAGTTAATTTTATGGCTAATCATTACTGCAGTATAGTAAGATCCTGAGCACCCAATTTGCCAAGACATCTTCATGTGTCGATGTTACTGTTCTTGAGTCCAGTGATTTGGATAATGTAGCTTCTAATGAATGCCAAGGCTTTTATGTTTAAGTCTTAAAGGAAAAGAGAAGGACTGAAATCTAGTGTGAGCATCCAAAGAGAGCTTTCCTTAATATTGTGTGTTGGCACAAAGAACTTGCCACAGTGAACCTGTCGAGTTTTTATGTTTGCTTGCTGTCAGCGTGGAATTTTTGCCTGTCACACAGTTTTGATACTTGGCCAGCTCTCATTTAAAATCACCATGCTGCAGCTTCCAACGTTTGCCTTTGGAGTCTCTTCCAGGCTTTAAGGAACACGGGCTGGATCCAGGAACGGTGGTAGGTAGGGCAAGTTCAGTATTGCAGCACTAAGCTCTCACAAGCCTGACGTAAGTGCCCAGCTCCTTGCGTCATGCAGGGAGTTCAGCTCTGTGCCAGACCTACAGCCACCAGCAGCCCGGAGAATGCTCGCTGAACCCAGTGCTGGTGGCTTCTCTTACCCTGTTGCCTTGTTCAGGCATGTAACTTTAGCAGAAAGTGTCTACCTTTCCACGCTTAGTTCACAGTTACAAATACTGTCTTGGACCAAAGCAGTGCCCCCCTGAAGAACAGAGTGAGACGTATTTTATGTCTCGTAAGACACTTTGGGAAGTGGAGATGCCATTGTTGCCTACTTGGCAGAGCTCTTTGCCATGAAAAGAGCAATTGCTTTCCATATCTCGTCTGGAAACCTTGAAACCCAACATGTTTCACCTCCCAAAACAGTGTCATGACCACCAGGCTACAAATTATCAGAGGCTTCTGACACTTGTCTCCTCCCTTCCTGTTAAATTTCTTTTGCTTTGCATGAGACACATCAAGATTATGAGGTGCAAAGAAAGGGGGGACATTGCCGCCTTGGTTAAAGCATTTGCTCAGGAGGGGGAAAGACTTGAGTTTTGGTTCTGTTTTGAAGCTGGTTAACACAGTTATATGTTACAGATCTGTGTCATACTCTGTAATTCAAGCAGCTTTTCATCCTCGTTCTGAAGCTGGAAGTTACGCTAGAGGAAGAACTCACTTGAGCACACATTTTAATCCCATCCTGTTTTTAATAATACAAAACTGATGTTGAGTTCCTTAAGGGTTAGACTAGGACCAAGAGTTGCATCCTGTCCTCTACGTTCAAATAGTGCAGTAAGAGAAGAGCAAGGGGAGTGTCCAGTTCAGGAGACAAGAGGGCTCCTGTCCCTCTGCCACGTGGATGCACCGCGGGAGATGCACTTTTGGAATCGTTTTTTCACTATGTTGACTTGCTTCTGTCATATCATGCAGCAGCAGCTCATTAAATTCCTCTCTCAGCTGGGTGATGATGCTCTGGGGAGGGTGTACAGCAGCAATTGCAGCTTAAAGAAGAGTCTAAACATACAACTTATTACTGGAAGTACAGCACAGCATATTGGCTGTATTTTATGAATCATCTTCTGACTTACTGAACTGCTTGAGTTGGTCTTGCTCTTCTCCAAAATCCTAAGACAGCTTTATGCTTGTGATTTTCTTCTCAGTCTGAAAGGTTCCCCAATCATTCAGATTGTCATAAAATCATTTAAATGGATTCAAAAGGATGTAAAACCATTTCTGAGGTGAAGGGCTGCAGCTAAGTGCCATGTAGCAGTGTAGGGGAGGAGAGGCAAAGCTGTTCTTCTGAAAAGTGTCACTGGATCTTCATGATGCACCCAAAGCAGCAAGGACTTCGATATATTTAGGATCTTGCTAAGAGCAACACTAAAGAGAGCTGCGTGTACTTCAGCATCATGCGAAGGTAAAGGACAGGTTCGGCTCCATGGGCTGTTAACAGTTAGAAGGATTCTTTGTATTGTCAAGTCCTGTGCAGCTTGAGACTTTGAGCTTGTCCTACTTACTGAAGGAGGACACAAAGTGCCTAAGAATCAAACATTTCAAGCTACAAAAGTTGTTTGTTTTTTTTTTTTTTTCTTGACAAGAATTTTGGTAACGAAGTTAATGAGTTATTCTAAAATATGCTAGAGTAACAATTTTTCGTGACTTTTGTGCTATGCTACTCTGTCTTCCTCATCAGAGACACCTCTTGCTGTTGCAGGAAGTTGGTGGTATACATACGCAATGCATAAAGGCTTTGTAATATCACTTGTCTCGTCTGCAAGCAGGCTTTGCAGCTGCTTATTCAATTAAAAGTTTCCATTTCTTGCTGTGCTCAATAGAGGCAAAGGCATCGAGAGGTAAATTAACTCTAATTTTTTACATACTAAGGGAGCAGTGTTGATGCTTTAGCTGCAGTTCAGACACAAGGTTCAAGTTCTGACGCTGTTCGGCGCAGGACTTTCTCAGACCAAAGAGCAGAGCGGTGCTGGGCTGGGGAAGGCTGGGGAGGAAGTAATGCCTCATCATTGCGGGCGCTCGCTCTGACTGGCAGGAAGCGCACGCGAAGCCTCCAGCGGGGGTTTTTAGGTCTGTAATGAGAGATGCACAGCAGTCTGAGGCCTTAAGAGAAATTTTAAAAGCCGGTATATGCAAGAATAATTTTTCATAACTTTGAAAGGGAGGGCGTGCCTGAGGAAGACAAAAAAAAACCCCCAACTTTTTAATTGAAGTGTGTCCCCTTCTACTGGTTTTATTCCTAGCAATTTTTTTTAAACTGAGTAGTGAAAAAACATAGCTGGCAAGCTAATAACCATGGTGTTCCCCTGGAGCCTGCAGAATAACAAATCAAAGAGAACTGGGTGCATTTCTGTGTGCCTGTGAGGGCTTGCCATTGCACGGTTCCATGTCCATCCTAAACCATGAGTGAGGAGCGTTATAGACAACGCGTGGCCGTCCGTAGGAAGTGGTCGGCTGGTCTGGACCGGGTTGCAGGATATTACATTCTTCCTTACCCACTGGCGGTTGGTGGCAATGGACAGCGCTGCTGTACGTTAGGACAGCACGTCCTGGTAGACTCCTAGGCTGGCAAGTCTTGACTCTTGTCGTTTACCCTCTCCTGTCAATGGGTGCTGAGCTCCTTTACGAACTGAGCACCGCACAGGCCGGCACTTCCTTGGTGGCGAATTGGTGAATGGGTGAGGAAGAGCAGACAGAGGTGAATGTGCATGTGAGACCGAGCCCTGTGGTTTCACTTCTTCCCCCATTCACCCTCAGCCACCACCTGAGGTCCCACCCCGTCGTAGGGCCCGACTGCAGTGATGTGGGTTATGCAGCATGTCACAGAGGCATGCAGGAGTGTGATCTTTGCAAAGAATTAGCAAATTTTAGGTGAATTCAGCTGGATGGAGTTTTTCTTTAAAAAAAACAAGCAGTGTCTCCGATACTACAATGAATTGAGGAAGGCAAGGAGAGTCACAGATACGCTCACACGTAGGCGTATATTTGACTGATTCTTCCACAGCATGATTTTTTCATTAACTGGGGAAAGAAAACAGCTACCTGTGCTTGAGGAAGCACACTCAAGGACTTTGCATATACATTCAGTTACTGCTTAGGTTCAGCCCTGTTCCTTCATTTTAAAACTCTTCTACTAGAAGACCTAAATCTGTGCCAAATTAGCTCTGACCACAGACTGAGCAGCTTTACAGAGAAAAAGTCTCCCAGGCCCTTTCTTGCATTTCATCAGCAGCACTTAAGGATGGAGTGAAAGGGATTGTTTCCAGTGAGAGGGATGACGATGTTTAGACACAGCTTGATCTGGGTCTGTTACATCCTCAGCAACTGAAGAACTGTGTCTGTGCTCTTAAAGAATAGCTTCCTCTCTCCAAGTAAGTGCTGCAATCACCCGACCATAATACAAGTTAAGCAATTACCTTTTAACCTTCCCCCTGTGGTCTCTGCGCTATATACCTCGTTCTGTGCTCTCTATTTGAAATTCCAAACCTGCATGAAGCCGCATTTTATACAGCAACATTTTCTCATGCATCTATTTCTCAGTTTGCTTAAAAAACCATAACTGCACAGCTGGCTTTGAAGATGAAGGTGCAGTTCACTGGGGCATATCTATATTTTGACTTGCAATACAGCGTATTTTTGTCACATCATTGAAGATGCCTCTTCTGTTATCCCATCCAAGAGAGTATGGTTTTAGCTGTATGTTCCGATTGCAAGCAAACGAATGTGTTTCTTCCAAGGCGACAGTCCTGTCTGCCTCACAAACTGCCAGCAATAACTTGGAGGACCTTTTGATTATACAAGCTACATTGGTAGAAGCTCAGAGGCGTGAACTTGAATAGGGAAAATCATACAAAGCACATAACACTAGAGGAAGTTGGGGGCGGGGGAAAGTCTGGCACCTGATGTGTTTAATGCATTTAGAGGATTATCTCACCAACAAAATAGTAAATCGGTTGCAAACAAGTAGGTGGATTTGGGAGAATAAGAAGGGGTAAGCAGTACAGTCTTTGCTCTGAATGTTTATACAACATGCATAATTTTGTCAATTGTCTATTATTTCTGGATTAAACATTGAGGGATCCATCCTTCTTTGTTCTGCACCTCACCCAACGGAGCACGCTGCTCTTGCGGGAGCTCAAATACAGAGTGGTCCAAACCTAAGATTCCCGTTTTACAAACATCTTGGGCAAACTGAGTAATGACTTATCCAGTAGGGATTGCCTTGTAATAACCTGTATCTCAATCCATTGTTTAAATTCAGGAGGGGGGCAAAGTATTGTAGAATTATTTGCCTTCTGGTACCTCCAATTCTTCAGATTGCAGCTGGAGACAAGGATATTGGCTAGAGTGATGAGTATGTGGCTTGGGACTGAGCCAGGTGCTAGGGCAGGAATAACCGGTATAAAGTTGAGGCACACTGAAATTTTCAGCATCGCTTCATTTGAAATATCAATACAAAGATTTGGGATGTGTAACTTCCCTGTAGGGCAGTTTCTGGGCTGCGTGTACATTGTGGTGATCATGGGAAGGAATGGCATTCCCAGTTCTTGTTTTGGAAATTCGGTGCATCACAGAGATGTACCTGATTCCGGGGGCAGCATTCAGGTGGCAAATAGATCTTCTACAGACTGCTTCAATCACGGTTTCTTCCTTATTAAATCTCTGAAAAAAATCTCAAATGAAAAAGATAGGTTTTTTTCCCCGTAGCTGCCAACTATATCTGGGAACTACGCCCTGTGGTTTCACTTCTTCCCCCATTCACCCTCAGCCACCACCTGAGGTCCCACCCCGTCGTAGGGCCCGACTGCAGTGATGTGGGTTATGCAGCATGTCACAGAGGCATGCAGGAGTGTGATCTTTGCAAAGAATTAGCAAATTTTAGGTGAATTCAGCTGGATGGAGTTTTTCTTTAAAAAAAACAAGCAGTGTCTCCGATACTACAATGAATTGAGGAAGGCAAGGAGAGTCACAGATACGCTCACACGTAGGCGTATATTTGACTGATTCTTCCACAGCATGATTTTTTCATTAACTGGGGAAAGAAAACAGCTACCTGTGCTTGAGGAAGCACACTCAAGGACTTTGCATATACATTCAGTTACTGCTTAGGTTCAGCCCTGTTCCTTCATTTTAAAACTCTTCTACTAGAAGACCTAAATCTGTGCCAAATTAGCTCTGACCACAGACTGAGCAGCTTTACAGAGAAAAAGTCTCCCAGGCCCTTTCTTGCATTTCATCAGCAGCACTTAAGGATGGAGTGAAAGGGATTGTTTCCAGTGAGAGGGATGACGATGTTTAGACACAGCTTGATCTGGGTCTGTTACATCCTCAGCAACTGAAGAACTGTGTCTGTGCTCTTAAAGAATAGCTTCCTCTCTCCAAGTAAGTGCTGCAATCACCCGACCATAATACAAGTTAAGCAATTACCTTTTAACCTTCCCCCTGTGGTCTCTGCGCTATATACCTCGTTCTGTGCTCTCTATTTGAAATTCCAAACCTGCATGAAGCCGCATTTTATACAGCAACATTTTCTCATGCATCTATTTCTCAGTTTGCTTAAAAAACCATAACTGCACAGCTGGCTTTGAAGATGAAGGTGCAGTTCACTGGGGCATATCTATATTTTGACTTGCAATACAGCGTATTTTTGTCACATCATTGAAGATGCCTCTTCTGTTATCCCATCCAAGAGAGTATGGTTTTAGCTGTATGTTCCGATTGCAAGCAAACGAATGTGTTTCTTCCAAGGCGACAGTCCTGTCTGCCTCACAAACTGCCAGCAATAACTTGGAGGACCTTTTGATTATACAAGCTACATTGGTAGAAGCTCAGAGGCGTGAACTTGAATAGGGAAAATCATACAAAGCACATAACACTAGAGGAAGTTGGGGGCGGGGGAAAGTCTGGCACCTGATGTGTTTAATGCATTTAGAGGATTATCTCACCAACAAAATAGTAAATCGGTTGCAAACAAGTAGGTGGATTTGGGAGAATAAGAAGGGGTAAGCAGTACAGTCTTTGCTCTGAATGTTTATACAACATGCATAATTTTGTCAATTGTCTATTATTTCTGGATTAAACATTGAGGGATCCATCCTTCTTTGTTCTGCACCTCACCCAACGGAGCACGCTGCTCTTGCGGGAGCTCAAATACAGAGTGGTCCAAACCTAAGATTCCCGTTTTACAAACATCTTGGGCAAACTGAGTAATGACTTATCCAGTAGGGATTGCCTTGTAATAACCTGTATCTCAATCCATTGTTTAAATTCAGGAGGGGGGCAAAGTATTGTAGAATTATTTGCCTTCTGGTACCTCCAATTCTTCAGATTGCAGCTGGAGACAAGGATATTGGCTAGAGTGATGAGTATGTGGCTTGGGACTGAGCCAGGTGCTAGGGCAGGAATAACCGGTATAAAGTTGAGGCACACTGAAATTTTCAGCATCGCTTCATTTGAAATATCAATACAAAGATTTGGGATGTGTAACTTCCCTGTAGGGCAGTTTCTGGGCTGCGTGTACATTGTGGTGATCATGGGAAGGAATGGCATTCCCAGTTCTTGTTTTGGAAATTCGGTGCATCACAGAGATGTACCTGATTCCGGGGGCAGCATTCAGGTGGCAAATAGATCTTCTACAGACTGCTTCAATCACGGTTTCTTCCTTATTAAATCTCTGAAAAAAATCTCAAATGAAAAAGATAGGTTTTTTTCCCCTGAGCTGCCAACTATATCTGGTAACTACTGCTTTCTTGAACTTCATCTCTCAAAGCAAGAAACCTTCAGACACCAGCACGGTGATTACTGCTAAGTCATATGTACAGCAAGGGTACAGGTCTGAAGCAAATTAGCTTCCTCTTGTCAGATCACATGCTAGAACATCCCTAATCAGAAGTATGACAACTCCCCTGCTTTTCCAGAATTCAGCAGCACCCCTAAGATCTGCTGTGTAGTCCTGCTTCAAAGACCACTTAAGCCTGGCTCATGTTGCAGCATGTCTTGTAAAATCATGTGCGTGCTGCTACGGTGAGCAGCGGTGCTAAAGGTGCGGTGTGCTAATCGTTGCTTCTTCTCAGCTCGCTGGGCTGGGAAAAGCAAGTTTGCCGCTAGGATTTTTACTTCAGCGCTCGCATCTAGCAAATACGGTGTTTCTTCTCCTCACAGCATTGCATGTGCAAATGTATTTGGGAGAATGGAACCACTGCCAAATTGCAAATGTTTTAATCAATAACTGTCAAATTCCTCTTGCTGATTTTGCTTGTGAGCAGCAACTTGGCAATCGGCGATTAGAACTGCTTCTAAGTACTTAGCAGTTGGACAAAACAGGCTTTTTATTAAAACTTGCCAAGGACATGTTTTATATTCTAAAGCGTCAGGTTTTGTCAGTGAAGAGGGATCTCCTGCCTTTAAGGGAAGGAATTTTACAATTATGGAAAACTTTCAGTCTGTGCAATTATAGTACTGTTGCTCTTGATCTCAAGTACGTATCTTTACATATTCCCATCATACTGCTTGTCAAAGACAGAGGTTTCTTTTATCCAAAACATTCTCTGTGTTTCAGGGCAGGAGGACTACGATCGGCTACGACCGCTTTCTTACCAGAACACAAACGTCGTGTTAATTTGTTACGATGTCATGAACCCCACTAGCTATGATAATGTATCAGCTAAGGTAAGAGGCTTTCATAATTGCTTCAACCTTTTAAATGAATTACATATGCCTGATATATGGCAGGATGTCAGATTAAAAAAGTCGATGCTTTTAGTGTCCTGTACCCTGGGTGTGTAGATGCTCAGATCACTCATGCACTGAGCTGCAGGTCACAGACCTTAGACCTGGAGCTCACCTCTCCGCAGCTCGTAAGTGCTCAGAACTGGGGTTGACTCTGCAGTACGCTAAAGAGATCATAAACCAGCGGTGAAATTGCTGCTTTATCTGTAGCGATGTTACATGACCAAGACTGCACACAGGCATTTAAGATTCAAGTCCACTTCCATCACACGCGTATTTAACTACAGGGGAGAAACATGTAAGCAGCTGCTTGTCTGTACTAGGATTTCTGTAATGCTCCAAAGCAGAAGTTAGCGATCCTGAACATAGCACCAGCAAAACAAAGCAAGACTTGGTCCACATTCTGCTCTTAAATATGACTTTAGAGGAGCTCTTCCTAATTTAAACAGATGTTAAGTAAGCGCTTTGGCATAGCGGCAGATGTTATAAAGCAACTGACTTTGGGTAGGACTTAAATGTTTCTGTAATGTAAATAGCGCATGTTGGGCCCCTACCACTACATTAATGACTTTCAAAATGCTGAAATTGCAGGGTATATTAAATGGTGGTTCTGTTCCTTGGCTTTATTGTCTTGATTTTAGGGGGAAAAAAAAAAGCCAGATGTAAAAGTTTTGTTTTTCTACCATCAGTGGTATCCTGAAGTGAATCACTTCTGCCGAGGTGTCCCGCTCGTACTGATCGGCTGCAAGACAGACCTTCGGAAAGACAAAGAACAGTTGCGCAAGCTCAGGTCTTCTAAGCAGGAGCCCATTACTTACAACCAGGTAAATACAAGTGCATTTAAAGTGGTGTCCTCTTTGCAAGAGATAAAGCACACTTACTTCAATGGCATCATTGCTCGCAAGTGCAATCGCAGATACTCCAGAAGTAGGTGATCCCAGTGTCCAGATAAAGAAATTATTGACAGTCAGCACTAACAGGGGTTTCTGTAAGTCCTTTTTGGAAGTGGCGAAATCACCACCCATTTTTAGTTCCAAGGTAAAGAGAAATTTGAAGAGTGTTTTGCCTGTCTTGAGGTGTCTGAAAGGAAACTACTACCTATATCGTCTAGGCTCATTATGTCTCATTCTTGTTTCCCTTCACAGCTGGGTTATTACTGTTACAAATTTGTAAGCCTCAACAAGTTTGTTGGACTCCCCTCATAATTTTTATCAGGATACATTGCTCCCATCACTGACACTTTGATCAGGATTGTGAGAATGCTGGAGATGCTAGGATACACATTACAGGATTAAAAATACTAACTGTTCTGGAAAAAATTGTTTTGCAAACCCTATTTAAAAATAAATCCTTTCAAGGACAATAGCAAAAACATCTGCAAGGCTTCTCTAACATAACAGACTTTTCTTTGAAGTCTCTAAAGTAATCTTAAAAAAGATCTACATATTATCAAATGTTTTCAATTTAAATATTACAAAGCAGTGAGACTGACAACTAGTATTACACCACCAACATAGCTGTCCTACGTACAGGAGAAACAGTCAGTGGTGCCATAGCTTGTCCCATGTCGCACAAGACCTTTCTGGCCTGGTCTCGCACTTTTTTTTCTTACACTACAAAGCCATCCTTCTTATCTCCGAGGAAGAACAGCAGCTTTCAAATTGAGACACAAGTCCAGTGAACAAGGTTAAGTGCACTAAGACCTTGAGTGAATCGCCCCTTTTTCTAAATGGCATGAAAAGAAACTGCAACTGCATCACCACTAAACCACGCTGGGACTTTTAGCTCGTCTTCCTTGCGCACGAGATGAGATGCCCGTCCTGTCGCTTTGTGAACAGCTGCAGATTGTCCCTCATTTGCATTAATAACTCCCATCACCCTCACATGTGAGGTTCAGGGCAAGCAACAGGCACTTTTGGCAAGTCTGCTGAGGCCTCACAGAATTAAACTCCAGGGCCTGCATGATGTACAAACTGTGTCTCCTACCTGAGCCCTCCCACTTGTTTTTTCTCCCCTTAAATATACACTACCTCAGTCTCTTACAGTTGATGGCATCTTGAGTCATGCGACGTGATGCTTCCAATGCCAGGCACAGAGGAGCTGAACAATATCTGCCAGCACTGCAGCTTGCAAACAACTGGAAGGAGACAAACCTCGCTTAAATATGCTGAAGAAAAATCCCCCTGTAGAAGCCCGAGCGCTCAAGTGACCCCGCTCCCAGGGCTTATAATGAATAAATGCAGTTTGTGAGCTGTGGGTTGCAGATCTGGAATCCACACTCCAGGGTTCACAAGCATTCAGAACTGGGGGCTGACTCTGCAATGGCAGTAAAAGGATCACGAGCAAAGTAAGAAATCACTGTGTTTTGTCTGTAGTGATTTCACGCAACCAGGATTGCATGCAAATGTTTTAGATTCTAGTCTGTTCCCATTGCATGCATTTGGGTGAGGCTGAGAAACATAGACATCCATTTGTGTATACGAGGATTTCAGCTGAGCCATTGCGATGCTCCGAAGCAAAAGTTCGGGTTCCTGCATGTGCACCAACAAGACATTGGTCCAGATTCTGCTCTTGCATGTGACATTCAATACTAAAGGTGATATCACATAATAGTTAAGGTCAAGCCTGAAAAAAATATCCCCGTGTGGACATGTTATCCTTACTTGAGTATCTACCTCAGCATTTCTTTTAAACAAAGTTAATACCGAGAATATTTTTATGCTATCAGCAGTCTGCATCTTAGAGTCTGTAATACACTGAACTGTTAGGCCAGGCGTAGAAGAAAAAAACCTAGTTTATTTAACAGTGCCTCAGTTTATTACCAACGCCACTTACACTCTAGCGCTATACTCAGAGGCGGCTTCTTTCTTCCTGACCTCGAGATTCAAAGATGTACAAAATAATTCCCTTCCTTTCCCATCTCACCTTCCTTCTCTCATACATCGGGTTTACATCTTTTCTTACCTTTTGTTCTTCCCAGGGTGAAGCAGCTCGTCAGCAGATTAATGCAGAAGTTTATCTGGAGTGCTCAGCAAAATGTCGTGAAAACATAGAAAATGTTTTTAAGGAAGCAACAACCATTGCACTGAATGCCATGAAAAAAGCCAAGCGCCAAAAGAAACGGAGAGTGTGCTCAGTGTTATGATCTGGACTGCAAGAGAGCATTGACTACACGAGAGCAAAGCGATTCAGATTTTAAAAACAGTATAAAGACCATTATTTTCCATTACATGTTTGTATGCCTAGAACAATTTTTGTTTTCAAATTTTAATTATTTCTAGTATTTTTGCACTTTTGTTGCACTGTTCTCACAAAATTTTCAAAGATCTTTATCAAGAACCAATACTGCGTGCCTTTGCCCATCTGGCTTTTGCTCCTAACTGCAAACGACCACCAGTCGGGTCTTGGACTCATTATTTAAATTGCAATGAACAGTGACTGCTACTATATGACTTAATTAGTAGGGTTTTTTTTCCTCTGCAAAATAATTATGGCATGCTATAGCTACAATTTACTGTCCTTTTCAAGCAGAAAAGCCGTATCTTTCAGAAGAAGTGATGCACGCTAGGGGAAATACTTAACTCATATTCATTAACTGATGAAATAATCTCTACTGCTATAAATTAAAGTTTCCCCTTTTGTTATTAAGATGTCAGTTGTCTGTTTAAGGATGATGGACGCTCCCACTGCACAACCTAGTGCACGTGCCTCAAGTCTCCTAGTTCTTCTGCACGTCCTCATGCGGCGAGATCTGATTCCAGGAGCAATCACTGGTTTGTAGCCATCATAAACCAGACCCTTGAAGGGGAAGGTTTCTGCAGTACAGGTGTTGCTGAAAGCTTTCTGTATAAGGCAAACTACAGCCCATCCTAAGGGAGAATACATAGGACTTGCATAATGGTAACAAGACACAACCTTTTACCAAAAAGTCAAAGCAGTGCATGCCAGGAGTCTATTAGACAAACATTGCACATGGAGCCTGGTAACTGTACATCACAGAGAGTTCGTGCAGCTTTATCCTCTGCCGGTTACATGACCAGCTGGTGAAAAACTTCTGTTTTGGAGCAAGCCATTGTTATTATTTTACATACAGGGTAAAGAGATCTTGATCCTTGAAATTTTACTACTTTTTTTTCTTCCCCTAACTTGTTTTGATTTTATTAAGGTTTGTGAATCCCTACGAGTTTAAAATGGAAGATAAAAAAAAAAAAAGACAAGTTTGTGCACATCTTTGACTATAGAAAAATCTTGAAGAATTGTGCAGCCCTTTCTTCACGAGAAGTCATTTGTCAGTAAAAGACAGAACCACCCATCACCTTACCCAGTACGAAACTGAAACATCAACGCGCAGGAAGTTACCACGTTCACCCTCGGCTCCACAGCAGGCATCTTCCTTGCTTTTTTAATCTGAGTTTCTTATGC